ACAGCATTTCCATCATTGAGTACTTTAGAAATCCAGTCAGGAATAAGATTCGACCTATTCTATGAATCCAGGATGCCTTTTCATAATCACTGCTGTTCTTTCAAAATGTCTACCTGACAGAAACCACTCCATGTATCCCAATCATTTCCATAGGAATAGTAGGAGCTACTTGATGAAAATCTTCCCTAAAATCTGACTCCACAGCATTTTCATCATTGACTACTTCAGAAATCCTGCCAGGAGAAAAATTAGACATATTCTGTGCGGCTGGAATGACTTTTAAATATCACTGCTGTTTTTTAAAAATGCCTACCTGCCAGAACTTACTCCATATTTCCCAACATTTTGGACAGGAATAGCATGGGCTACTTTGTGAAAATCTTCCCTAAATATGAGTCCATGGCATTTACATCATTGACTAGTTCAGAAATCCTGTCAGGAATAAAATTAGGCCTATTTTATAAAGCCAGGATGCTTTGTCATAATCACTGCTGTCTTCTCAAAGTGTCTGCCAGACGCTACTCCCTATCTCCCAATTGTTTCCACAGAAATAGTATGAACTACTTTATGAAAATCTTCCCTGAAATCTGAGTCCACACCATTTCCATCATTGACTAGTTCAGGAATCCTGTCAGAAAGAAGATTAAACCTATTTTATAAAACCAAGATTACTTTTCATAATCACTGTTTTCTAAAAATATCTGCCTCCCAGAACCTACTCCATACCTCCAAATCTTTTTGAGAGGAATAGTATGTGCAACTTCATGAAAATCTGCCTTGAAATCTGAGTCCACAGCGTTTCCATCATTTACTTCAGAAATCCTGTCAGCAATAAAATTAGACCTATGCTGTGAGGCCAGGATGCCTTTTCATAAGCAGTGTTGTTTTCTCAAAATGTCTGCCTGCCAGAAACTATTCCCTATCCCCCAATCTTTTATATACAGTCTACTCTATATCTCCCTATCTTTTCGCATGAATATTATGAGGTTAATACTTAAAATCTTCCCTGAAATCTGAGTCCACAGCATTCAGTCATTGACTATTTCAGAAATCCTGGCAGAAATAAGATTCAACCTATTCTATGAATCCAGGATGCCTTTTCATAATCAGTGATGTTTTTTCAAAATGTCTGTTGCCAGAAACCACTGCATGTATCCCAATCGTTTCCATAGGAATAGTAGGAGCTACTTGATGAAAATCTTCCCTAAAATCTGAGTACACAGCATTTCCATCACTGACTAGTTCAAAAATCTCATTAGGCATAACATTAGACTTATTCTGTGAAGCTGGAATGACTTTTCAAAATTACTGCTGTTTTGTAAAAATGCCTGCCAGCCAGAAACTACTCCCTATCTCCCAATCTTTGCAACAGGAATAGTATGAGCTACTTTATGAAAACCTTCCCTAAAATCTCAGTCCACAGCATTTCCATCATTGACTACTTTACAAATCCAGTCAGGAATGAGATTAGACCTACTGTGTAAAACCAGGATTCATTTTTATAATCACTGCTGTTTTTTAAAAATGTCTGCCTGCCAGAAACGACTTAATATCTCCCAATCTTTTCAACAGGATTACTATGAGCTACTTTATGAAAATCTTCCCTAAAATCTGAGTCCACAGCATTTCCATCATTGACTACATTAGAAAACCTGTCAGGAATGAAATTATAACTAGTCTGTAAAACCAGGATTCCTTTTCATAATCACTGCTGTTTTCTCAAAATGCCTCCCTGCCAGAACCTACTCCGTATCTCCAAATATTTTGGACAGGAATAGCATGAGCTGCTTTATGAAAACCTTCCCTGAAATCTCACTCCACAGCATTTACATCATTGACTAGTACGAAAATCCTCTGAGAAATAAGATTAGACATATTCTGTAAAACCAGAGTGCCTTTTCACAATCACTGCTGTTTTGTGAAAATGTCTGCCTGGAAGAAACTACTCCATGTCTCCCAATATTTTGGACAAGAATAGTATGAGCTACTTTGTGAAAATCTTCCCTTAAAATCTAATTCAGAAATCCTGTCAGAAACAAGATTAGACCTTTTCTATGAAACCAGGACTCCTTTTCACACTCACTGCTGTTTTCTCAAAATGTCTGCCTGCCAGAAACTATTCGTTATCCCCCAATCTTTTATACAGAGTCTACTCTATATCTCCTGATCTTTTCACAGGAATATTATGATGTTAATCCTTAAAGTCTTCCCTGAACTCTGAGTCCACAGCATTCAGTCATTGACTATTTCAGAAATCCTGTCAGAAAAAGATTCAACCTATTCTATGAATCCAGGATGCCTTTTCATAATCACTGCTGTGTTTTCAAAATGTCTGCCTGCCAGAAACCACTCCATGTTTCCCAATCTTTTCCATAGGAATAGTTGGAGCCACTTTATGTAAATCTTCCCTGAAATCTGAGTCCACAGCATTTTTATCACTGACTAGTTCAGAAATCTCATTAGGAATAAAATTAGACGTATTCTGCGACACCACCATGCCTTTTCATAATCACTGCTGTTTTCTGAAAATGTCTGTCTGCCAGGAACTACTTCATATCTGCCTACCCTTTCACAGGAATATTACGAGTTTAATCATGACAATCTTCCCTGAAATCTGAGTCCACAGTGTTCCTATCATTGACTGCATTAGAAAACCTGTCTGGAAGAAGATTACACATATTTTATAAACCCGGGATGCTTTTTCATAATCACTGCAGTTTTCTCAAAATGTCTACCAGCCAGGAACTACTCCCTATCTCCAAATCTTTTGAACAGGAATTGTATGAGCTACTTTATGAAACCCTTCCCTGAAATCTCAGTCCACAGCATTTCCATCATTGACTACTTTATGAATCAAGTCAGAAATGAGGTTGGACCTATTCTGTAAAACCAGGATTCATTTTTATAATCACTGCTGTGTTTTCAAACTGTCTGCTTGACAGAAATGACTCCATATCTCCCAATCTTTCAACAGGATTACTATGAGCTACTTTATGAAGATCTTCCCTAAAATCTGAGTCCACAGCATTTCCATTCTTAAGTAGTTCAGAAATCCTGTCAGGAATAAGATTAGACATATTCTCTGAAGCCAGCATGCCTTTTCATAATCACTGCTGTTTTCTCAAAATATCCCCCTGCCAGAACCTACTCCATATCTACCAATCTTTTAGACATGAATAATATGAGCTACTTTATGAAAATCTTCCCTGAAATCTCAGTCCCCAGCATTTCCATCTTTGGTTAGTTCAGAAATCCTCTCAGACATAAGATTAGAAATATTCTATGCAACCAGGATGCCTTTTCACAATCACTGCTGTTTTGCGAAAATGTCTGCCTGGAAGAAAGTACTCCATGTCTCCCAATATTTTGGACAGCAATACTATCAGCTACGTTGTGAAAATCTTCCCTGAAATCTCACTCCATAGCATTTTCAATATTGACTAGTTCAGAAATCCTGTCAGGAATAAAATTAGACCTATTCAATAAAGTCACCATGCCTTTTCATAAGCAGTGTTGTTTTCTCAAAATGTCTGCCTGCCAGAAACTATTCCTTATCCCCCAATCTTTTATATAGAGTCTACTCTATATCTCCCTATCTTTTCACAGGAAAATTATGAGGTTAATCCGTAAAATCTTCCCTGAAATCTGAGTCCACAGCATTCAGTCATTGACTATTTCAGAAATCCTGTCAGAAATAAGATTCAACCTATTCTATGAATACAGAATGCTTTTTCATAATCACTACTTTTTTTTCAAAATGTCTGCCTGCCAGAAACAATTCCATATCTCCCAATCTTTTCCATCGGAATATTAGGAACTACTTTAAGAAAATCTTCCCTAAAATCTGAGTCCACAGCGTTTTCATCATTGACTAGTTCAGAAATCTTGTTAGGACTAAAATTACACATATTCTCTGAAGCTGGAATGACTTTTCAAAATCACTGCTGTTTTGTAAAAATGTCTGCCAGCCAGAAACTCCCTATCTCTGAATCTTTTGAACAGGAATAGCATGAGCTACTTTGTGAAAATCTTCCTTGAAATCTCACTCCAAAACATTTCCATCATTGACTAGTACAAAAATCCTCTCAGAAATAAGATTAGACATATTCTGTGAAAACAGGGTGCCTTTTCATAATCACTGCTGTTTTGTAAAAATGTCTGGCATCCAGAAACTACTCTCTATCTCCAAATCTTTGGAACAGGAATAGTATGAGCTACTTTATGAAAACCTTCCCTGAAATCTCAGTCCACAACATTTCCATCATTGACTACTTTAGAAATGCAGTCAGAATGAGGTTAGACATATTCTATGCAAGCAGGATACCTTTTCATACTCACTGCTGTTTTGTGAAAATGTCTGCCTGGAAAGAACTACTCCATGTCTCCCAATATTTTGGACAGCACTACTATGAGCTCTGTTCTGAAAATCTTCCCTAAAATCTGAGTTCCCAGCATTTTCATCATTCACTAGTTCAGAAATCTCGTTAGGAATAAAATTAGACATATTCTGTGAAGCCAGAATGACTTTTCAAAATTACTGCTCTTTTGTAAAAATGTCTGCCAGCCAGAAACTACTCCCTATCTCCAAATCTTTGCAACAGGAATTGTATGAGCTACTCTATGAAACCCTTCCCTGAAATCTCAGTCCACAGCATTTTCATCATTGACTACTTTACGAATCTAGTCAGGAATGAGGCTAGACCTATTCTGTAAAACCAGGATTCATTTTTATAATCACTGCTGTGTTTTCAAAATGTCTGCCTGCCAGAAACAACTCCATATCTCCCAATCTTTTCAACAGGATTACTGTGAGTTACTTTATGAAAATCTTCCCTAAAATCTGAGTCCACAGCATTTCCATCCTTAACTAGTTCAGAAATCCTGTCAGGAATAAGATTAGACACATTATATATAACCAGGATGCCTTTTCATAATCACTGCTGTTTTCTGAAAATGTCTGCCTGCCAGAACCTAATCCATACCACCCCATCTTTTTGCAGGAATGTCATGAGTTTCATCATGAAAATCTCCCCTGAAGTATGAGTCCACGGCATTTCCATCATTGACTACTTCAGAACTCCTATCAGGAATAAAATTAGACCTATTTTATAAAGCCAGGATGCTTTTTCATAATTACTGCTGTTTTCTGAAAATGTCTGCATGCAAGAAACTACTCCCTATCTCCCTATTGTTTCCACAGGAATAGTATGAACTACTCTATGAGAATCTTCCCTGAAGACTCAGTCCACCGCATTCCCATCATTGACTATTTCAGAAATCCTGTCAGGAATAGGATTAGACCTATTCTATAAATCCAGGATGCCGTTTCATAATCAGTGCTGTTTTTTCAAAATGTCTGCCAGCCAGAACCTCCTCCGTATGTACCAATCTTTCAGATAGGAATAATATGCGCTACTTCATGAAAACCTTCCTTGAAATCTCAGTCCACAGCATTTCCATCATTGACTAGTTCAGAAATCTCATTAGGGATAACATTAGGGGTATTCTGTGAAGCCGGAATGACTTTTCAAAATACTGCTGTTTGGAAAAATGTCTGCCAGCCAGAAACTACTCCTATCTCCAAATCTTTGCAACAGGAATAGTATGAGCTACTTTATGAAAACCTTCCCTGAAATCTCAGTCCACAGCATTTCCATCATTGAGTACTTTAGAAATCCAGTCAGGAATGAGATTAGACCTATTCTGTAAAACCAGGATTCATTTTTATAATCACAGCTGTGTTTTCAAAATGTGTGCCTGCCAGAAACCACTGCATGTATCCCAGTCTTTTCCATAGGAATAGTAGGAACTACTTTATGAAAATCTTCCCTAAAACCTGAGTCGCCAGCATGTTCATCATTGACTGGTTCAGAAATCTCGTTAGGAATAAAATTAGACACATTCTGTGAAGCCAGAATGATTTTTCACATCACTGCTGTCTTGTAAAAATGTCTGCCAGCCAGAAACTACTCTATCTCCAATCTTTTCAACAGGATTACTATGAGTTACTTTATGAAAATCTTCCCTAAAATCTGAGTCCAGCATTTCCATCCTTACTAGTTCAGAAATCCTGTCAGGAATAAGATTAGACATATTATATACAACCAGGATGCCTTTTCATAATCACTGCTGTTTTGCAAGAATGTCTGCCTGGAAGAAACTACTCCATGTCTTCCAATACTTTGGACATGAATAGTATGAGCTACATTGTGAAAATCTTCCCTTGAAATCTAGTTCAGAAATCCTGTCAGAAACAAGATTCGACCTTTTCTATGAAACCAGGACTCCTTTTCATAATCACTGCTGCTTTTTCAAAATGTCTGCTTGCCAGAACCACACCCATCTCCAATCTTTTCCACAGGAAATAACATGAGCTACTACATGAAAACCTTCCTTGAAATCTTAGTCCACAGCATTTCATCATTGACTAGTTCAGAAATCCTGTCAGGAATAAGATTAGACATATTATATACAACCAGGATGCCTTTTCATAATCACTGCTGTTTTCTGAAATGTCTGCCAGCCAGAAACTACTCCATGTCTCCCAGTATTTTGGACATCAATACTATGAGCTACATTGTGAAAATCTTCCCTAAAATCTGAGTCCCCACATTTTTATCATTGACTAGTTCAGAAATCTCATTAGGAATAAAATTAGACATATTCTGTGAAGCCGAATGACTTTTCAAAATTACTGCTCTTTTGTAAAAATGTCTGCCAGCCAGAAACTACTCCCTATCTCCAAATCTTTTGCAACAGGAATTGTATGAGCTACTCTATGAAACCCTTCCCTGAAATCTCAGTCCACAGCATTTTCATCATTGACTACTTTACGAATCTAGTCAGGAATGAGGCTAGACCTATTCTGTAAAACCAGGATTCATTTTTATAATCACTGCTGTGTTTTCAAAATGTCTGCCTGCCAGAAACAACTCCATATCTCCCAATCTTTTCAACAGGATTACTATGAGTTACTTTATGAAAATCTTCCCTAAAATCTGAGTCCACAGCATTTCCATCCTTAACTAGTTCAGAAATCCTGTCAGGAATAAGATTAGACACATTATATATAACCAGGATGCCTTTTCATAATCAACTGCTGTTTTCTGAAAATGTCTGCCTGCCAGAACCTAATCCATACCACCCATCTTTTTGCAGGAATGTCATGAGTTTCATCATGAAAATCTCCCCTGAAGTATGAGTCCACGGCATTTCCATCATTGACTACTTCAGAACTCCTATCAGGAATAAAATTAGACCTATTTTATAAAGCCAGGATGCTTTTTCATAATTACTGCTGTTTTCTGAAAATGTCTGCATGCAAGAAACTACTCCCTATCTCCCTATTGTTCCACAGGAATAGTATGAACTACTCTATGAGAATCTTCCTGAAGACTCAGTCCACCGCATTCCCATCATTGACTATTTCAGAAATCCTGTCAGGAATAGGATTAGACCTATTCTATAAATCCAGGATGCCGTTTCATAATCAGTGCTGTTTTTTCAAAATGTCTGCCAGCCAGAACCTCCTCCGTATGTACCAATCTTTCAGATAGGAATAATATGCGCTACTTCATGAAAACCTTCCTTGAAATCTCAGTCCACAGCATTTCCATCATTGACTAGTTCAGAAATCTCATTAGGGATAACATTAGGGGTATTCTGTGAAGCCGGAATGACTTTTCAAAATACTGCTGTTTGGAAAAATGTCTGCCAGCCAGAAACTATCTATCCCTCCAAATCTTTGCAACAGGAATAGTATGAGCTACTTTATGAAAACTTTCCCTGAAATCTCAGTCCACAGCATTTCCATCATTGAGTACTTTAGAAATCCAGTCAGGAATGAGATTAGACCTATTCTGTAAAACCAGGATTCATTTTTATAATCACAGCTGTGTTTTCAAAATGTGTGCCTGCCAGAAACCACTGCATGTATCCCAGTCTTTTCCATAGGAATAGTAGGAACTACTTTATGAAAATCTTCCCTAAAACCTGAGTCACCAGCATGTTCATCATTGACTGGTTCAGAAATCTCGTTAGGAATAAAATTAGACACATTCTGTGAAGCCAGAATGACTTTTCAACATCACTGCTGTCTTGTAAAAATGTCTGCCAGCCAGAAACTACTCCCTATCTCCAAATCTTTTCAACAGGATTACTATGAGTTACTTTATGAAAATCTTCCCTAAAATCTGAGTCCACAGCATTTCCATCCTTAACTAGTTCAGAAATCCTGTCAGGAATAAGATTAGACATATTATATACAACCAGGATGCCTTTTCATAATCACTGCTGTTTTGCAAGAATGTCTGCCTGGAAGAAACTACTCCATGTCTTCCAATACTTTGGACATGAATAGTATGAGCTACTTTGTGAAAATCTTCCCTTGAAATCTAGTTCAGAAATCCTGTCAGAAACAAGATTCGACCTTTTTATGAAACCAGGACTCCTTTTCATAATCACTGCTGCTTTTCAAAATGTCTGCTTACCAGAAACCACACCCCATCTCCCAATCTTTTCCACAGGAATAACATGAGCTACTACATGAAAACCTTCCTTGAAATCTTAGTCCACAGCATTTTCATCATTGACTAGTTCAGAAATCCTGTCAGGAATAAGATTAGACATATTATATACAACCAGGATGCCTTTTCATAATCACTGCTGTTTTCTGAAAATGTCTGCCAGCCAGAAACTACTCCATGTCTCCCAGTATTTTGGACATCAATACTATGAGCTACGTTGTGAAAATCTTCCCTAAAATCTGAGTCCCCAGCATTTTTATCATTGACTAGTTCAGAAATCTCATTAGGAATAAAATTAGACATATTCTGTGAAGCCGGAATGACTTTTAAAATTACTGCTCTTTTGTAAAAATGTCTGCCAGCCAGAAACTACTCCCTATCTCCAAATCTTTGCAACAGGAATTGTATGAGCTACTCTATGAAACCCTTCCCTGAAATCTCAGTCCACAGCATTTCATCATTGACTACTTTACGAATCTGTCAGAATGAGGCTAGACCTATTCTGTAAAACCAGGATTCATTTTATAATCACTGCTGTGTTTTCAAAATGTCTGCCTGCCAGAAACAACTCCATATCTCCCTAATCTTTTCAACAGGATTACTATGAGTTACTTTATGAAAATCTTCCCTAAAATCTGAGTCCACAGCATTTCCATCCTTAACTAGTTCAGAAATCCTGTCAGGAATAAGATTAGACATATTATATACAACCAGGATGCCTTTTCATAATCACTGCTGTTTTGCAAGAATGTCTGCCTGGAAGAAACTACTCCATGTCTTCCAATATTTTGGACACGAATAGTATGAGCTACTTCGTGAAGATCTTCCCTTAAAATCTAGTTCAGAAATCCTGTCAGAAAAAGATTAGACCTTTTCTATGAAACCAGGATGCCTTTTCATAATCATGCTGGTTTTTCAAAATGTCTGCCTGCCAGAAACCACACCCCATCTCCCAATCGTTTCCACAAGAATACTATGAGCTACTACATGAAAACCTTCCTTGAAATCTTAGTCCACAGTATTTCCATCATTGACTAGTTCAGAAATCCTGTCAGAAATAAAATTAGACAGAATCTGTGAACCCACCATGCCTTTTCATAATCACTGCTGTTTTCTGAAAATGTCTGCCTGCCAGAACCTAATCCGTACCACCCCAACTTTTCACAGGAATGTCATGAGTTTCATCATGAAAATCTCCCCTGAAGTATGAGTCCACAGCATTTCCATCATTGACTAGTTCAAAACTCCTGTCAGGAACAAAATTAGACCTATTTTATGAATTCAGGATGCTTTTTCATAATCATAGCTGTTTTCCAAAATGTCTGCCTGCCAGAAACAACTCCATATCTCCCAATCTTTTCAACAGGATTACTGTGAGTTACTTTATGAAAATCTTCCCTAAAATCTGAGTCCACAGCATTTCCATCCTTAACTAGTTCAGAAATCCTGTCAGGAATAAGATTAGACACATTATAATATAACCAGGATGCCTTTTCATAATCACTGCTGTTTTCTGAAAATGTCTGCCTGCCAGAACAATCCATACCACCCCATCTTTTGCAGGAATGTCATGAGTTTCATCATGAAAATCTCCCCTGAAGTATGAGTCCACGGCATTTCCATCATTGAC